TATAAAGAATATATCTTAAATAAAGAATATATCTTAAATAAAGAGAATATATTCTTTAAGAATATAGTCTTTTTCGATAGTGAGATATATATGTTTTTCTATAGAGGCTCTTTATATTCTAATCAGTATATATTCTTATCAATATTACTATATATTTAGAGGATTTTCCTCTTAAAATAAGAAACTCTTCTTGGCGCCTATTTTAGTATAAAATATACTTAAAGTAAGTGGGATATCCTCAAAACAAGAATACAATTTTTTCGGTGTACATATATATGTACACACCTATGACAAGTTCAAAAAAAAAAAAACTCACTTGTAAAAAATTTACAAGTGAACTTGTCGTAGGTGTATACATATACATATATGTATACACGTACAAGTTCCGCTCAACATCCTGTGAACGGTTCGTGTCGGCCTTATATTCTCGTTTGAAATTTTCACGAGCCTTTAAAATATTATTTAAGAATTTTTATGGTTCAAGTTGTGTGATTGATTGGAGCAATTATTGCACCGCGGCGTGATATCGTCCGAATCGATTTTGCGCGAAATGCCCGACGAGCAGTAGCGCCCCGCGCGTTTCTTTGTAATTATTATTCCGTCCCGCGTTCTACGGCGGAAATGATGAAGGTAGGCGCGGCGCGCAATCGAGCGGCTTAATTAAAAAAGCGAAATGATCGATAGACAGAGCGGGTTACAGGGCAGCGCGGCGCGATCGATTCCCCGACGCGCCCGGTTGAACAACTTGAAAAAACAAAACAAAAGAAAAAAATCTTTCGCGATGCAACATTTTCGGCCTCTCGAGAAACGATCCTCTGTCGTCGATGAATTTAATTTAGACATCGTTGCCGACTCGATTTATATCGCGGCGCGAGTTAATTAGCGGCGTCGCTCGATAGATCGTAATCAGCGTAATTAAAGCTGTCATAATGCAAGAAAACTTTTTTCGCGCGTCTCGCGTTCACGTCCTCGATTTCACGAAATTTCTCGGTTTCGAACAATTCGATTGTCCGATTATATTCGACGCACGCGCAGATCGAAAGAGGTCGAAAATGACGGGGGGTTGTGTTAAGTGAAAGACTCCATTATTCGCGCTGCATTCGAAAGGATGTCAATTTTCGTCGTCCGATGATGATGATGATGATGATGATGACGCAACATTCGGGCAGCGACGCGGAACCGTTTGCGTTGTTGCTAATCAGCGCGCGCTATGTATTTGCTCTCTCGCGGAATTTTAAATAAATAAACGCGCATTAAAACTCGCGCGCGAGTTAGAAAAAAGTGTGTGTGTGTGTGTATATATACCGCGAAACGCCGCGGTCCGATTTTATAAATTTGTTATGTATTATGCGATCCGGGTACAAAACGAGCGCCGTAAATCCCGCGTGCTGTTGACCCGACGAGCGCTGGACCGAGACGGCCGGAGATCTCTGCCTCCACGGACGGTCAACCGGAAGTAATTAAGGTTTCGACAGAGAATCTCCGTGTGCGCGGGATAAACGCTATACGGCATGGCCAAAAAGAGCGACGACGAGAGAGAGAGAGAGAGAGAGAGACGGAGTCCCATGTCGGGAAATTACGTTACATCCCTCTTCTCTTTTGCCGCGTTTCTCTTCAACCGCGCGGGCTTAAATATCATCTCAATGCGGCCTGCGTATATTTCTGTCCATGCAGAATACTCCGTTAACGATTTAATATACTGCTTTCTCGCGCATCCTCCGTGTACGTGCCATAATGCCTCGTGCGCGAGAGCCCCTCGATGGTACGATCTCCCCGGCACACGGCAGCAACCTTTTGCTCACTCGTAAAAAAAAAAAAAAAACACCGCGAGGTAATATTCCGGGATTTCGATATTTCCCGAGACCGCTCGACTGCGATTTACACGCCGCTTTCGTACACCTTTATGACCTTATCCCGCGGACTCTGAATGGCGGAATGATGATCGTCGTCGAATATCGTCCGGGAGACGCGAAATTTCTCGCAAAAGATGTTGAAGTTTCAACCGCGCGCGGAGCCTTCGTTCGATAATAAAAGACGCGCGCGATGCGATGATGAACTTCGATACGTATCGCGCACGTATAAACGTTTCCGCGAGATGGTCTCGGTGGGGGAGGGAGGGGATTTCTCTCTCGCGCGTTCAATTATCTAATGGACTTCCTACGCGAAATGCATCGCAATATCCTGGGACATTCGATATCAGAGTTTTTCGCGCACCGCGAGAGATCTCTCGCGACGAGAGATAGAGAGAGACTCTCTCTAAGTTATATTCTCCGCATTACACGCGCGTTAGTTAAAGGCGCGCATAATATGACTCACTTCCTCCACTTAGCCAGGTATTTGGTTTTTGCTTGTGTTTGACTTAACTTCCTCTCCTGGATGTCTCTAACCCGACGGCGTTATATACGCGTGTGTGTTTGAGCATTACTCGGTATATTACAATTATGTCATTACGATATAACAGACGTGGCGCTCTTAATAATGCGCGCCGAGGTATGTGTTACCACGGATGGCGCGCATAACAAAACGAAACGTCTAACTGTAAACGTTATTAGACTCCTTTTCTTTTCTTTTCTTTTTTTTTTTCTTTTTTTTTTTTTTACCGAGAGAGTACCGTTTACGCGCCGCGAAATTTCGCTTTTCTAACAGTACTCAGACGTATGCAACGCGGAACGCTCGAGAGCGAGAGATTAAGAGACGTTTGTATTGTGCAAAAAAATCGCAAAAAAGATCTCACGTTGTATTGTTCGCGAGAAATAATCTGACGAGTTACTTGATTCGAAAATAGTTTTCTCTACATATATACATATATATATACATATACATATATATATATATATATATA